TGAAAATCCAAGTGTCATCTGCAAAAGATGATAGAGTACTGTCGGTTGTATCCTTGTCTATATCTGATATAAGGATGAGAAAAAGTACTAGAACAAGTACGAGGGGACTGAGCTTTTCACAGTAGATGATCCGGATTTTACTGTGTTGACTATTGCACTCTGCGTTCTGTTCGTTAGGAAGTTGAAGATCCATCTCCCTCCTTTGCCAGTACTTCCCTTTGCACGCATTTTGTGCAAATCGCTGGCTTAACATGAAGCACAACTGTATAACATTATGAATGCAACAAACAGTGAATCAAGAATGAAAAGCACATTAACGTGATGTTTATATAAATAAAATCAATAATGAATGCGTTTGTTCCCATGTTTTGTTTAATCAAAATGTACACTTGTAAAACCAAATGAACAAAAATCACTTCTCTAGAGACTAAGGCCGAGTTTTTAAGTGACAAAAAAACCTGTTTTGCGTTCAAGATTCCATTTGGAAGAGGTTAGGTGAGCCGTGTTCTAACTGTTGACTTCAGTCATTAAAGCTATCAAACTTGATCATGTGAATCAGTAGTTTAAAGCTGCCTATGAGAACCTTCGTGTATAATTTACAAGGTTTATGGACAGCTTTCCTTAACCACACTGTGTCATTAGCTATTTTGTGAGGGAATTACGACTTCCATGATCCTCCATGACTGCAACCAATCATAGGCTAATTGAAGGGTGGGTTGATAATAGTGGTAGACGGTATATCTGGTAGGACTGGCCGCCGCATACTTTATAGCTCGTAAAATCAACCTTATGAATTCTTTAGGTTAAAACTGCTTCCTTTTCCTCACTTCAATTGATTTTTTGGCGGGAGAAGAGCGATTCAGCTTCATCTTTTGTTTTTGTCTGCGCATTGATCGACAAGAACACTCGCCACCCAGATGACAGATTACTAAGGTGAAGAAGCAAACAAAGATTATTGCAGGTGCAACGAAATCGATTGTATGAGGTGAACAAAGCTTCCGAATAATCACTCACTGGAGCAGTAACCACATGATGCGAGCCGCTCCTTCCCCAGACCTCCTGATTACTTGAAGATTGCTTCAATCTCTAGACTAATTCACCGCTATACGCGACTATGGTGATTTGTGGTCATTGAATGACCTATTTGCTGTTTACAGTACACGTCTTCTGCCAGCCTATTAGGGAGCGGGGGCACCTCCATCCATCCCAAGACCAAGTGTCCCTTAATACCAAAATAATGATACAAATTCTCTGGCAAAACCTTCCCAAAACAACGATTAATAAAATGTCATACCTTTACATAGCTGTTGGATCCCTTCCCACGAAGCTGCTGTTGGATCCCTTCCCACGAAGCTGCTGTTGGATCCCTTCCCACGAAGCTGCTGTTGGATCCCTTCCCACGAAGCTGCTGTTGGATCCCTTCCCACGAAGCTGCTGTTGGATCCCTTCCCACGAAGCTGCTGTTGGATCCCTTCCCACGAAGCTGCTGTTGGATCCCTTCCCACGAAGCTGCTGTTGGATCCCTTCCCACGAAGCTGCTGTTGGATCCCTTCCCACGAAGCTGCTGTTGGATCCCTTCCCACGAAGCTGCTGTTTACCAGAGTGCTGTAATGGTTTGTTGTGATGATGCGGTCAACATACCCGCAACGTGAGGGTCCAGATAGTGATCCTGCAGGCTACACAGTAGTGATCATGCAGGCTACACAATAGTGATCATGCAGGCTACACAGCAGTGATCCTGCAGGCTACACAGTAGAGATCATGCAGGCTACACAATAGTGATCATGCAGGCTACACAGTAGTGATCATGCAGGCTACACAGTAGTGATCATGCAGGCTACACAGTAGTGATCATGCAGGCTACACAATAGTGATCATGCAGGCTACACAATAGTGATCATGCAGGCTACACAATAGTGATCATGCAGGCTACACAATAGTGATCATGCAGGCTACACAATAGTAATCATGCAGGCTACACAATAGTGATCATGCAGGCTACACAATAGTGATAATGCAGGCTACACAATAGTGATCATGCAGGCTACACAATAGTGATCATGCAGGCTACACAATAGTGATCATGCAGGCTACACAATAGTGATCATGCAGGCTACACAATAGTGATCATGCAGGCTACACAATAGTGATCATGCAGGCTACACAGTACTGATCCTGCAGGCTACACAGTACTGATCCTGCAGGCTACACAGTACTGATCCTGCAGGCTACACAGTAGTGATCCTGCAGGTTACACAGTACTGATCCTGCAGGCTACTCAGTACTGATCCTGCAGGCTACACAGTACTGATCCTGCAGGCTACACAGTACTGATCCTGCAGGCTACACAGTAGTGATCCTGCAGGCTACACAGTACTGATCCTGCAGGCTACACAGTACTGATCCTGTAGGCTACACAGTAGTGATCCTGCAGGCTACACAGTAGTGATTCTGCAGGCTACACAGTACTGATCCTGCAGGAAACACAGTACTGATCCTGCAGGCTACACAGTAGTGATCCTGCAGGCTACACAGTACTGATCCTGCAGGCTACACAGTACTGATCCTGCAGGCTACACAGTACTGATCCTGCAGGCTACACAGTACTGATCCTGCAGGCTACACAGTAATGATCCTGCAGGCTACACAGTAGTGATTCTGCAGGCTACACAGTACTGATCCTGCAGGAAACACAGTACTGATCCTGCAGGCTACACAGTACTGATCCTGCAGGCTACACAGTACTGATCCTTCAGGCTACACAGAACTGATCCTGCGGGCTACACAGAACTGATCCTGCAGGCTACACAGAACTGATCCTGCAGGCTACACAGTACTGATCCTTCAGGCTACACAGAACTGATCCTGCAGGCTACACAGTACTGATCCTGCAGGCTACACAGTACTGATCCTGCAGGCTACACACTACTGATCCTGCAGGCTACACACTACTGATCCTGCAGGCTACACAGAACTGATCCTGCAGGCTACACACTACTGATCCTGCAGGCTACACAGAACTGATCCTGCAGGCTACACAGTACTGATCCTGCAGGCTACACAGTACTGATCCTGCAGGCTACACACTACTGATCCTGCAGGCTACACACTACTGATCCTGCAGGCTACACAGTAGTGATCCTGCAGCTACACAGTACTGATCCTGCAGGCTACACAATACTGATCCTGCAGGCTACACAGAACTGATCCTGCAGGCTACACAGTAGTGATCCTGCAGGCTACACAGTACTGATCCTGCAGGCTACACAGTACTGATCCTGCAGGCTACACAGAACTGATCCTGCAGGCTACACAGTAGTGATCCTGCAGGCTACACAGTACTGATCCTGCAGGCTACACAGTACTGATCCTGCAGGCTACACACTACTGATCCTGCAGGCTACACAGAACTAATCCTGCAGGCTACACAGAACTGATCCTGCAGACTACACAGTAGTGATCCTGCAGGCTACACGGTACTGATCGTGCAGGCTACACAGTACTGATCCTGCAGGCTACACAGAACTGATCCTGCTGGCTACACAGTACTGATCCTGCAGGCTACACAGTACTGATCCTGCAGGCTACACAGTACTGATCCTGCAGGCTACACAGTAGTGATCCTGCAGGCTACACAGTACTGATCCTGCAGGCTACACAGTACTGATCCTGCAGGCTACACACTACTGATCCTGCAGGCTACACACTACTGATCCTGCAGGCTACACAGTAGTGATTCTGCAGGCTACACAGAACTGATCCTGCAGGCTACACAGTAGTGATCCTGCAGGCTACACAGTACTGATCGTGCAGGCTACACAGTAGTGATCCTGCAGGCTACACAGTACTGATCCTGCAGGCTACACAGTACTGATCCTGCAGGCTACACAGTACTGATCCTGCAGGCTACACACTACTGATCCAACACACATGCTATTTGCATTCCCTTGCCAGCTACGTTTACCATTAGATGAAGACAAGCTCCGGGTTCTCTGAAGACCGGGCTGGATGTCTGAATATTAAACAACGTAATCATGTCAGAGAGAAAAAAAATGATTCATATTCAACTGGACGGTCTGTGGATCCTTCCTACCAGGCGCTGGTAGGTTAATATGACTAGTTGCTCATCGTGTGATGGTTCCTGATTACCTTGCTTATTGAATGATGGTTCCTGATTACCTTGCTCATTGTCTGATGGCTGCTGATTACCCTGCCCATTGTCTGATGGCTCCTGATTACTGTATGGGCACTTTGTGTGTGTTTGGCAGCACTGAAGCGTTGTGTGATGTGCGCCTCCTGGCCTGATAACTCGGCTGCACCTCGTCCCTACGGACCACTGCACACGAGAGGCTCTTAGCGCAACCAATGTACCATTTACTTACTGCAAAAAATGTTTTTTATTGCTTTACTCAGTAAAGCGTTTCTTACCCTTGGCCAAGGGGAAGATATAGGAGTTGGGCAGACGTGAAGGGGTTACCATAACCAACTTGTCCATACCGTAGATCAGGGGTGGCGAACCCTCTGCGGAGCGGGGAGGGGTCCAATTTGGCCATGATCTAACAAATAATTCTCTCGGGTGTTTATGGAGAATCATATGATTTGAAAGTTCTTTTAATGAAATCTGTTTTGGTAATTATTAACTTTTCTGAATGGTTTTAATTGGGACAACGATAGGTCTTCTGTGGCGAAAATTGACTCGGGGATTTATTTATTTTTTTTTATAATTTATATATTAATTTATTTCTTACGTTAATTTATTTCGATAGCGGACTGTATGATGTAAAAGTGGACTGTATGATTTAATTTCTCACAAGTAGCTTCCTACACAAGCTGGGAGGTTTATTAATAATATAATCTCTCAATCGCAATCATCGATTGGTAGACAATACACTACAATGTTAAAACTACATTGGTTAGTAAAATTAAATTAAACAAATACAGCTTATCTGTGTCGTTGTTCATGGCCTGGTCAACCAGATATAAACACGAATGATCACAGACTAATACGCCTTGTAGGTGATGCAAGTGTAATCACTTGACACGTGTTGTATCAGGTAGTTGATTGCTAATTCTTCTTCTCCTTCAATTTCACCTTTCAAAAGCCACCCACAACAATAATCGTAACCTATATATGACAGTTATATCAGGGAAAATGATTACTAAAATTGTTTAAATGATATTTACCCCTTTGGGTAGCTCGCTGCGTGTTCTAACTGGCTTACCCTAATCTACCGACATTATTGGCCAGGTACGACTATATTTAACGGGTTATCGGCTACAGAACACTGCCCTTATTGTTGAAGACGATCGTGCTGATGATGGGACGTTTGTTTGTCCCATAACACTGCGTCTAGATGGAAATAATTGCGGAGCTTCAAGCGGGCTCTTAGCGAGAGCCCGCTTAGTTGATGTTAAATTAATGGCGTCTGCCTCCCACTCACGCGTCGGGCGTTTTCTCCAGATGCGTTTTATCAAGAAGTGGAAAGAGTTTTTATAAGAACATAAGAACAAGGTAACTGCAGAAGGCCTATTGACCCATACGAGGCAGCTCCTATCTATAACAACCCAATTACACTCATATGCATGTCCAACCCACGTTTGAAACAATCGAGGGACCCCACCTCCACCCCGATAAGCGGTAATTGGTTCCACAAATCAGCAACCCTGTTACCGAACCAATATTTACTCAAGTCTTTCCTAAATCTAAACTTATCCAATTTATACCCATTGTTTTGTGTTCTGTCTTGTGTTGATACATTTAATACCCCTATTAATATCCATAAGAACAATATATATATTTATTTTATATTTAATTTGTTTTAGTACTGAAAATTAAGCTCATTCAAGGGAAATGTTTTTATGATGTTTACCGTCCAGAGACTTGACGTTTTAACAAGAACTCCCAATATTATTAGCTGGTGAATATAATAGCGACGTGGTAATGGTAACCAAATTTTCTTCCGAGGAAAATTCCACTGCAATCTCGTTTTCTTTGAATGATTTAAGAACTAATTTGGGTTAATTTGTTAGTACCTAACAGCAGCAATATTAACTGCATATTGTATTAATGGTTTCTAAATGGTGTCGTGTTTTCCTACATCTTCCATGTTAAAATTATTAGTAGTGTGCAGGAATAACATTGATCATCAATTAATAAATAAGTTTGAAATGTTTAAGGTAAATAGAATTCTGTTGCTTATTTAGGAGTAATATTGTTTAAACATTATCAAAAGTATAGCAGAGGGAGCGTGAAATAGATTAAAGCACTTTAGAAAGCCTGTTAAAATTTATTAATATCAAAATTTATAAAAAAATGAATTTCAAAATAACTTTATTTACAAAAAGTATTGATATTGCCCCATTACAGTCATCACATAAAATGCCTCATGAATGCCTCGGATATCATGTATTAGGCCCAGGAAGGTTAGGTTAGGTTACATTAGTTTGTCATAGTTCAGATTTCTACTTTCTAATTTCGTTGTACGTCGGTATATATAGTATTGATGAGGATGATGTATTGTCGTACTATATATTGTATAGTATTTATGAGGATGATCAGGATGATATAGTATTGATGTATTGTCAAGAGGAGTACAAGCCGGATCACGATACACTCTGTCCATTATCATCCTTGATACCAACCTCAAGTGTTTATATCCAAAGGCTTCCTGTCCCCGACCGAAAAGAATTATGAATCCCAGTTCCCTAACATCAAACATTTATAAATGTAACATTTGTCACCACTACTCATTATGACTCTCAGACAGGTGTTTCTCGACACCTGTCCCGGTACATTGTCTGGCGTATGTTGGAGCTCTGGTGCGTGCGTGCTGTCAGCGTCCGAGGTGCGTACAGGTGCTTGTGAGTGCGTGCTGAAGACATGCGTGTGAGGTGCGCGCCTGGGCGTGTGAGGTGCGCGCCGGGGCGTGTGAGGTGCGCGCCTGGGCGTGTGAGGTGCGCGCCGGGGCGTGTGAGGTGCGCGCCTGGGCGTGTGAGGGCGTGAGGTGGTGCGCATGAAGCAGCGTGCGGCAGTCACAGGAAGAGGAAACTGCAATAAAATGAGGGATCAGAATTATCCATTATCCTCATTAGCTGTGAGAGGGAACTTGACAGCTACCGGGAGGCTGGCCCCGAGCACATTACCGGGAGACCGAGTCCAGAGCACATTACCGGGCCCCAAGCACATTACCGGGAGACCGAGTCCAGAGCACATTACCGGGCCCCAAGCACATTACCGGGAGACCGAGTCCAGAGCACATTACCGGGCCCCAAGCACATTACCGGGAAACCGAGTCCAGAGCACATTACCGGGCCCCAAGCACATTACCGGGAAACCGAGTCCAGAGCACATTACCGGGCCCCAAGCACATTACCGGGAAACCGAGTCCAGAGCACATTACCGGGCCCCAAGCACATTACCGGGAAACCGAGTCCAGAGCACATTACCGGGCCCCAAGCACATTACCGGGAAACCGAGTCCAGAGCACATTACCGGGCCCCAAGCACATTACCGGGAAACCGAGTCCAGAGCACATTACCGGGCCCCAAGCACATTACCGGGAAACCGAGTCCAGAGCACATTACCGGGCCCCAAGCACATTACCGGGAGACCGAGTCCAGAGCACATTACCGGGCCCCAAGCACATTACCGGGAAACCGAGTCCAGAGCACATTACCGGGCCCCAAGCACATTACCGGGAGACCGAGTCCAGAGCACATTACCGGGCCCCAAGCACATTACCGGGAGACCGAGTCCAGAGCACATTACCGGGCCCCAAGCACATTACCGGGAAACCGAGTCCAGAGCACATTACCGGGAGGTCAGTAACAAGCCAAGACGGCAGCCTGGTGATGGGGGCCGGCTACCGGAATTAGTTCCCCCACCTCCGACTCCTCCTTCCCTCCTTCCCCTCTGCTCCGACTCCTCCTTCCCTCCTTCCCCTCTGCTTGATGACGATAATTAAATTCTGCAGGATGTGGAGTTTGGGCGCGTCTCCCCTGAGGGTGAGGTGCGTGGATCTCACTGGCCACCGGGCGCGCCTCACCCGGGGTGGAGGTGCAGGCGCTCAGTGGCCACCGAGCGCGCCTCACCCGGGGTGGAGGTGCAGGCGCTCACTGGCCACCGGGCGCGCCTCACCCGGGGTGGAGGTGCAGGCGCTCACTGGCCACCGGGCGCGCCTCACCTGGGGTGGAGGTGCAGGCGCTCACTGGCCACCGGGCGCGCCTCACCCGGGGTGGAGGTGCAGGCGCTCACTGGCCACCGGGCGCGCCTCACCCGGGGTGGAGGTGCAGGCGCTCACTGGCCACCGGGTGCGGGTGTCCCTCAGAGCTCACCCGAGGATGTGGGGCCTCTTTTTTCTGTTTAATTGGCTGCTTGGATAAATGCTTTGTGAAACCAAGGGAAGTTGTGCTTGTAAGAAGCATTAAACTGGAGAGATTAACGCGGTGAGTGCACGCCGACACGCACTTAACCACACGCACTCAGTGTGGAGAAGCTGTTCATCACTGTGGAGAAGCTGTTCATCAGTGTGGAGAAGCTGTTCATCAGTGTGGAGAAGCTGTTCATCAGTGTGGAGAAGCTGTTCATCAGTGTGGAGAAGCTGTTCATCACTGTGGAGAAGCTGTTCATCACTGTGGAGAAGCTGTTCATCAGTGTGGAGAAGCTGTTCATCACTGTGGAGAAGCTGTTCATCAGTGTGGAGAAGCTGTTCATCAGTGTGGAGAAGCTGTTCATCACTGTGGAGAAGCTGTTCATCACTGTGGAGAAGCTGTTCATCACTGTGGAGAAGCTGTTCATCAGTGTGGAGAAGCTGTTCATCACTGTGGAGAAGCTGTTCATCACTGTGGGGAAGATGAATCAGCAATGCTTGGTCTGATATTCACTCTGAATGATCCGGATATAAGGGACGTTAAGATGAAAGCCCCCTTGAGAATGAGTGATGACAGTGTACTGATATATGAGCACCAGGTAGAGCTAGGAGTAATCTTCCCCAAACAAAGAACTAGAGAGCAAAAGGGCTGGCGTACCGAAAAGGGAATTATAAGATGAGAAAATTCCAAAGAGAAACTCCAGCGCCACAGAACTCAGAACTATACCCGTACAAGACCTGATGGATTATATCACTCGAAAGTGTCAAGAGGCAGTAAACAAGCATTTCGGCTCAAAAGGAAAAAAAATAGAGAAGCAAAAGAGGGATCCGTGATTTAATATGGCACGTATGGAAGCACGGGAACTAAACAAAAAGGCGTGAAGGAACTTCCGAATTAACAGAACACCAGAGAGCAGAGCTACCAGAGAGCAGAGCTACCAGAGAGCAGAGCTACCAGAGAGCAGAGCTACCAGAGAGCAGAGCTACCAGAGAGCAGAGCTACCAGAGAGCAGAGCTACCAGAGAGCCAGGAAATGAATATGTTAGTGTGAGAAGAGAAGCAGAGATACAATACGAGAATAACATAGCAAATATAGCCAAGACCGAACCTGAGCCGGTCGGCCGAGCGGACAGCACACTGGACTTGTGATCCTGTGGTCCTGGGTTCGATCCCAGGCGCCGGCGAGAAACAATGGGCAGAGTTTCTTTCACCCTATGCCCCTGTTACCTAGCAGTAAAATAGGTACCTGGGTGTTAGTCAGCTGTAACGGGCTGCTTCCTGGGGGTGGAGGCCTGGTCGAGGACCGGGTCGCAGGGACACTAAAGCCCCGAAATCATCTCAAGATAACCTCAAGATAAGACCGAACCAAAACTGTTCCACAGTCACATTAGGAGGAAAACAAGTCAAAGAACAAGTGATGAAACCTAGAACAGGTGAGGCCAGGTACACAGAGAATGACAAAGAGGTGCGTGAAGAACTCAACAAGAGATTCCAGGAGGGTTTCACATTGGAACGAGAAGAATGATTAAGAAGGATTAAGACAGGAAGACAGCATGAGCCTTCAAGATGACCTGGACAAACTGTAGGAATGTCCCAACAAATGGTTGTTAGAGTTTAACCCAAGCAAATGTAAAGTAATGAAAATAGGTGTAAGGAGAAAGAGGTCTAATACAAGGTACCATTTGGGAGATTAAATTTTTCAAGAATCGGAGAATGAAAAAGACCAGTGGGATGATATCACCACGCCAGACCTGTCACTTGAAGCCCACATCAAAAGGATATCATCAGCGGCATATGCCAGGTTGGCCAGCATATGAACGGCCTTTAGAAACTTGTGTAAAGAATCATTCAGAACCTTGTATACCACATAGGTCAGACCAATCCTGGAGTATACAGCTCCAGCATGGAGTCCATATCTCGTCAGGCACAAGACTAAATTGGAGAAGGTTCAGAGGTATGCCACCAGACTAGTACCCGAGCTGAGGAGTATGAGCTACGAGAAGAGACCACGGGAACTAAACCTCACGTTGCTGGAGGAAAGAAGAGTTAGGGGAGACATGATCACCAAATGCAAGATTCTCAGAGGAATTGATAGGGTAGATAAAGACAATATATTTAACAAGGGGCACACGCACTAAGGGGGACACTGGTGGAAACTTTGTACCCAAATAAGACAAACATTAGAAAGAACTTTTTAGTGTCAGAGTAGTTAACAGATGGAATGCATTAGGCAGTGATGTGCAGGAGGCAAACTCCATACACAGTTTCAAATGAAGATATGACAGAGCGCAATAAGCTCAGCTGAGGCTCAACTATACACCAGTTAAGAGGTGGAACCAAAGAGCCGAAGATCCACCCCCGCAAGCACAACTAGGTGAGTAGACACAAACTTAGAGACTAGCTCGAACCTGCAAGGACATCTAGGTGAGTAAACACACACACCAGCCCATGCTCCTGTTTCGGTGTACTTCTAGTAAAGATGAGCACCATAGTATATATACCGACGCACAACGGAAGTAGAAATCTGAACTATTGAGTTGGACAAACCGGAAAACTATTTTTTACTTGTGTTGCTTTGACAAAGTAAGCTAACGTAACCTAACCTTCTTAGGCCTAATACACGATATCTGAGGCCTAATATAGTACATATGTGTGCTATACTAGACTTAGGAATACTTAAGTATTATTTAGCTTCGTTTTTTACTACGCTATAGAGTGAAATGTTTAAAGTTCTATTATGTAATTGCTTAGAATGACAATCTTTGTAATATGGTGCACATAGTTAAAAAAAAATTCTGTTTAAACAGGAGAATAGGTTTCACACACACACACACACACACACACACACACACACACACACACACACACACACACACACACACACACACACACACACACACAGAAAGATCTAGGAGTTGATATCACACCAAACCTGTCTCCTAAAGCCCACATAAAAAGAATAACGTCTGCGACATATGCGAGGCTGGCTAACATCAGAACAGCGTTCAGGAACCTGTGTAAGGAATCATTCAGAATCTTGTACACCACATATGTAAGACCAATCCTGGAGTATGCGGCCCCAGCATGGAGCCCGTATCTTGTCAAGCACAAGACGAAGCTGGAAAAAGTCCAAAGGTATGCCACTAGACTAGTCCCAGAACTAAGAGGCATGAGTTACGAGGAAAGGCTGCGGGAAATGCACCTTACGACACTGGAAGACAGAAGAGTAAGGGGAGACATGATCACAACCTACAAAATCCTCAGAGGAATCGACCGGGTAAACAAGACTAAACTATTCAACATTGGTGGTATGCGAACAAGGGGACACAGGTGGATACTGAGTGCCCACATGAGCCACAGAGACGTTAGAAGGAACTTTTTCAGTGTCAGAGTAGTTAACGGATGGAATGCATTAGGCAGTGATGTGGTGGAGGCTGACTCCATACGCAGTTTCAAATGTAGATATGATAGAGCCCAGTAGGCTCAAGAATCTGTACACCAGTTGATTGACAGTTGAGAGGCGGGACCAAAGAGCCAAAGCTCAACCTCCGCAAGCACAAATAGGTGAGTACAAATATGTGAGTACACACACTCACACGTCGGGGAACCAACTAGTATGAGGGAAAACGATGAACCAGCGAGACTCGACCTAGTCTTCACTCTGAATGACTCCGACATAAGGGAAATTGACTTCGCGGCCCCAGTAGGAATGAGCGACCACAGTGTATTGACGTTTAAGTATCTGGTCGAAGAAGGGCTAAAGTACTCGAGAAAGGGAACTGAAAGCAATAGGCTAGCATTCCGTAAGGGAAATTACGACGAGATAAAAAAAATTCCTAACGGATGTAACATGGGAAGCAGAGCTAAGGGGAAAGACGGCCCAAGACATGATGGAATACATCACGCAGAAGTGTAAGGAGGCGACAGAAAAGTTTATCCCGGCCTAAAAGGTAAAAACTAAAATGCAGATGAGAAACCCATGGTTTAATCATAGATGTAAGCTAGCTAAGCAACACAGTAAAAGAGCATGGAGAAACTATATAAATAACAGGACACTTGAGAGCAGAGAAGGTTACCAGAGTGCCAGGAATGAATACGTCAGGGTGAGAAGAGAGGCAGAAGGGCAATATGAAAACGACATAGCAAGCAAGGCTAAGACTCAACCTAAATTGCTGCACAGCCACATCAGGAGAAAGACAACAGTGAAGGAACAGGTAATGAAACTGAGGATAGGGGCAGACAGATTCACTACAAATGACAAAGAAGTGTGCGAGGAACTCAATACGAAATTCCAGGAAGTCTTCACATTAGAGCAAGGAGAAGTTCCAGAGATAAGAGAAGGAATAATTAATCAGGCACCACTAGAGAAATTTGAGATTACCAGTAGAGATGTAAGGAAGCTTTTGCTGGAGTTGGATGTGAAAAAGGCTATAGGCCCGGATGGAATATCGCCATGGATACTAAAGGAAGGAGCAGAAGCACTGTGCCTGCCGCTCTCCATGGTGTATAACAAATCACTGGTAACAGGTGAACTGCCAGAAATTTGGAAGGCGGCAAACATAGTCCCGATATACAAGAAGGGTGATAGACAAACGACACTGAACTACAGGCCAGTGTCCCTAACTTGCATACCATGCAAGCTAATGGAGAAAATTGTGCGAAAAAAGATAGTCGAACATCTGGAGCGAAGGAAATTTGTGTCACAACACCAACATGGTTTCAGGGATGGCAAGTCATGCCTCACAGGAATAATTGAATTCTACGATCAGGCAACAAGAATCAGGCAAGAAAGAGAGGGGTGGGCAGACTGCATATTTTTGGATTGCCAGAAAGCCTTTGACACAGTGCCACACCAGAGACTAGTGCAAAAGCTGGAGATGCAGGCAGGAGTGAAATGGAAGGTACTCCATTGGATATGGGAGTACCTAAGTAACAGAAAGCAGCGAGTCACTCTGAGGGGTGAGGTATCAGATTGGCGAGACGTCACCAGTGGAGTTCCGCAGGGTTCAGTCCGTGGACCCATACTGTTTCTTATATATGTAAATGATCTTCCAGATGGCATAGAATCATTCCTCTTATTATTTGCTGATGATGCAAAAATTATGAGGAGGATTAAGACGGAGGAAGACAGTATGAGACTACAAGATGACCTAGACAGACTGCATGAATGGCCCAACAAATGGCTATTAAAGTTCAACCCCGAGTAAATGTAAGGTAATGAAACTAGGCAGTGGAAACAGGAGGTCAGACACAGGATACAGAATAGGAGATGAAGTCCTTCATGAAACGGACAGAGAGAAGGATCAAGGAGTTGATATCACACCCTGTCACCTGAAGCCCACATCAAAAGAATAACATCTGCGGCGTATGCGAGACTGGCTAACATCAGAACTGCCTTCAGGAACCTGTGTAAGGAATCATTCAGAACCTTGTATACCACATATGTAAGACCAATCCTGGAGTATGCGGCCCCAGCATGGAGCCCGTACCTTGTCAAGCACAAGACGAAGCTGGAAAAAGTTCAGAGATATGCCACTAGGATAGTCCCAGAACTAAGAGGCGTGAGTTACGAAGAAAGGCTGCAAGAAATGCACTTCACGACACTAGAAGACAGAAGAGTAAGGGAGACATGATCACTACCTACAAAATTCTCAGAGGAATTGACAGCGTAGATAAACTGTTTAACACGGGTGGTACTCGAACAAGGGGACACAGGTGGAAACTGAGTACCCAAATGAGCCACAGGGACGTTAGAAAGAACTTTTTCAGTGTCAGAGTAGCTAACAGATGGATTGCATTAGGCAGTGATGTGGTGGAGGCTGACTCCATACACAGTTTCAGATATAGATATGATAGAGCCCAGTAGGCTCAGGAATCTGTACATCAGTTGATTGACAGTTGAGAGGCGGGACCAAAGAGCCAGAGCTCGATCCCCGCAAGCATAATTAGGTGAGTACAATTAGGTAAGTACACACACACACACACACACACACACACACACACACACACACACACACACACACACACACACACACACACACACACACACACACACACATATCCTGGAGTATGCAGCCCCAGCATGGAGTCCATATCTAGTCAAGGATAAGACTAAACTGGAAAAGGTTCAAAGGTTTGCCACCAGACTAGTACCCGAGCTGAGAGGTATGAGCTACGAGGAGAGACTACGGGAATTAAACCTCACTTCGCTGGAAGACAGAAGAGTTAGGATGGAAATGATCACCACATTCAAGATTCTGAAGGGAATTGATAGGGTAGATAAAGACAGTCTATTTAACACAAGGGGAACACGCACAAGGGGACACAGGTGGAAACTGAGTGCCCAAATGAGCCACAGAGATATTAGAAAGAAGTTTTTTAGTGTCAGAGTGGTTGACAAATGGAATGCATTAGGAAGTGATGTGGTGGAGGCTGACTCCATACACAGTTTCAAGTGTAGATATGATAGAGCCCGATAGGCTCAGGAATCTGTACACCTGTTGATTGACGGTTGAGGGGCGGGACCAAAGAGCCAGAGCTCAACCCCCGCAAGCACAAATAGATGAGTACAACTAGGTGAGTACACACCCTGACACTCACCCACTCCCTGACACTGGAACCTCTGGGAATAGGGTGTCCATGAAGAGCCTGAAGGTTTGGTTCACGAACGCCGACGGAGTAACAAACAAATTAGAGGAAAATAAAGAAAGAGTAAGTGAAAATGATCCGGATTTGTTGGGACAACTCCAACTGCTACTACTGCTGCTGCTGCTGCTGCTACGGGCACTAAAATTGTTACTGCTGCTGCACAATCTTCCCTACTAACGCTGCTGCTTCTGCTGACGTTACAATTGCTGTTGCATGAATGGTTGTAAGTAATCTCACGTTACTTGCAATAGTGGAAGCGAAAATATATATGATCTTTGATGCAATATTGCCAGGGGGACAGATACCCTCAGAGAAGAGTCAATAAAGAGGATGAGTGACATCACACATGGAAGATATGACATCCGGTGTGTGAGTGACTAGATGACTGCCTAGTAGATGTCGAGGCGGGAGATTACTTACAGGTAGTCATGCAGCAGCGATTGTAACACCAGCAGAAGCAGCAGCATAAGTAGGGAAGATTGTGCAGCAGTAGTAGCAATTTTAGGGCCCGTAGAAACAGCAGCAGTAGTAGTAGTGTCAGCAGTTGTAGTAGTTCCAACAAATGCTGCAACAATGAAGGAATCCGCAGCAAAAGCAGTTGTTGTAGTCCCCGAAGCATCTACGCTTGTAGTAGTGTCAATAGTTACAACAGTGTTAGCAGCCGTAGTAGCAGTATCAGCAGCTGAAGTAGTGTCGTTAGTATCAGCAGCTAGAGTGAAGTAGTGCAAGTAGAATCAGCAATATTAGCAGGATCAGACGTAGCATCACCAGCATCATTACTAGCAGCAGGAGCAGACGAGGGAGCAGGGGCTTGAAGGGGGGCCTGCAGGTGTAGTTAGTGTGGTGGTGCAGCAGTACCAACCACACCAGCAGCAGGAGCTGGAAGGGGGGGCCTGCAGGTGTAGTGTGGTGGCGCAGCAGTACCAATCACACCAGCAGCAGGAGCTGGAAGGGGGGCCTGCAGGTGTAGTTAGTGTGGTGGCGCAGGATGTGGTGGTATCCGGCCTCCCCCAGTGATCGCCCGCACAACCCCTGCCTCCATTATGACTCCATTATCCACCATTAACCTCGCCTAGCCTAGAATTAAGCTTATGACACTCGCCTTCGGGAACAGAAGAAGGACTCTTTTAGTCTCCGATTTGGCTGTGAGTTGAGAACATGCAGGGAGCGGGAACCCTCCTCCAGGAAGTGATTACTGGAGTTTATGGATCGTAAGTGACGATAGAGTCCTGGTAACACGTCCCGCCTTGCTGCGCTAATTCTTCCCGGTGTGCTCATCCGCGCCTCTGTTCCCGGTGGTCACCTCGTAGGGGGCTAAATTTATGGCTGGAGCCGGTTCTAGGGTCGTGGGTCGTAGCTGGTGGGTGGGTTGGGGGGAGGGGATGTTAGATGAGGGGGACCAGTTGCTTGATAATGTCCGTTCTGAGCTCCGGAGGGATTATCCGGAGTCCTGGGGCCAGATTCACGAAGCAGTTACGCAAGTACTTACGAACGTGTACATCTTTCCTCAATCTTTGGCGGCTTTGTTTACAATTATTAAACAGTTAATGAGCTCCGAAGCACCAGGAGGCGGTTTATAACAATAACAACAGTTGATTGGGAAGTTTTCATGCCTGTGAACTGTTTAATAAATGTAAACAAAGCCGTCAAAGATTGAGGAAAGATGTATAGGTTCGTAAGTACTTGCGTAACTGCTTCGTGAATCTGACCCCTGTATAGCTGGTGGTGGTGGAGAGCAAGCTTGTGTAACTAGACTTCAAGATCAGACACGTTGGCCGAAGCGTCCTGCTACAGGTCTGATAGCTGGCATCTCTTGTTCAGGATTTTATGTTACTTCTTATATTTTTGAGGTTTTCAAGCATGGCTGCTTGACCCGTTGTCCCATATTTGTTTTGGCAAGAGTCTTGTTGCACACCTGTGGTTAAAGTTCTCCTTTTCCATGGCGCAAATTATAATCCAGAGAAACACTAAAACTTAAACACCACATCCGCTGTTTTCAGTAATGTTTTGTTTGTTTACACTGGGGCGGCAATGTTACAATGTAATCTCAGCCTGGAAAGAAAATTATTTACTAAAGAAGATTCATTTTAAAACAACACAATATTTATGTCACTAAAAACTTTCACATTTTAGGATGTGATTATTTACAAAACATAAATATTATACATTATATAATCTGGGTTAGAGTGTCAGCAAATGACTTAGGACAAGATCACCCTCAGGGGTAGTCTGGTGGCCTTGCATCACTGTGGCTTATGACTACTCTCAGTGGGGACTGGTGGCCTTGCACCACTGTGTTATGACCACTCTCAGTGGGGACTGGTGGCCTTGCACCACTGTGTTATGACCACTCTCAGTGGGGACTGGTGGCCTTGCATCACTGTGTTATGACCACTCTCAGTGGGGACTGGTGGCCTTGCACCACTGTGTTATGACCACTCTCAGTGGGGACTGGTGGCCTTGCACCACTGTGTTATGACCACTCTCAGTGGGGACTGGTGGCCTTGCACCACTGTGTTATGACCACTCTCAGTGGGGACTGGTGGCCTTGCACCACTGTGTTATGACCACTCTCAGTGGAGACTGGTGGCCTTGCACCACTGTGTTATGACCACTCTCAGTGGGGACTGATGGCCTTGCACCACTGTGTTATGACCACTCTCAGTGGGGACTGGTGGCCTTGCACCACTGTGGCTTATGACCACTCTCAGTGGGGACTGGTGGCCTTGCACCACTGTGTTATGACCACTCTCAGTGGGGACTGGTGGCCTTGCACCACTGTGTTATGACCACTCTCAGTGGGGACTGGTGGCCTTGCACCACTGTGTTATGACTACTCTCAGTGGGGACTGGTGGCCTTGCACCACTGTGTTATGACTACTCTCAGTGGGAACTGGTGGCCTTGCACCACTGTGTTATGACCACTCTCAGTGGGGACTGGTGGCCTTGCACCACTGTGTTATGACCACTCTCAGTGGGGACTGGTGGCCTTGCACCACTGTGGCTTATGACCACTCTCAGTGGGGACTGGTGGCCTTGCACCACTGTGTTATGACCACTCTCAGTGGGGGACTGGTGGCCTTGCATCACTGTGGCTTATGACTACTCTCAGTGGGGACTGGTGGCCTTGCACCACTGTGGCTTATGACCACTCTCAGTGGGAACTGGTGGCCTTGCACCACTGTGTTATGACCACTCTCAGTGGGGGACTGGTGGCCTTGCACCACTGTGGCTTATGACCACTCTCAGTGGGAACTGGTGGCCTTGCACCACTGTGTTATGACCACTCTCAGTGGGGGACTGGTGGCCTTGCATCACTGTGGCTTATGACTACTCTCAGTGGGGACTGGTGGCCTTGCACCACTGTGGCTTATGACCACTCTCAGTGGGAACTGGTGGCCTTGCACCACTGTGTTATGACCACTCTCAGTGGGGGACTGGTGGCCTTGCACCACTGTGGCTTATGACCACTCTCAGTGGGGACTGGTGGCCTTGCACCACTGTGTTATGACCACTCTCAGTGGGGGACTGGTGGCCTTGCACCACTGTGTTATGACCACTCTCAGTGGGGGACTGGTGGCCTTGCACCACTGTGTTATGACTACTCTCAGTGGGGGACTGGTGGCCTTGCACCACTGTGTTATGACCACTCTCAGTGGGGACTGGTGGCCTTGCACCACTGTGTTATGACCACTCTCAGTGGGGGACTGGTGGCCTTGCACCACTGTGGCTTATGACCACTCTCAGTGGGGACTAGTGGCCTTGCACCACTGTGTTATGACCACTCTCAGTGGGGGACTGGTGGCCTTGCACCACTGTGTTATGACCACTCTCAGTGGGGACTGGTGGCCTTGCACCACTGTGTTATGACTACTCTCAGTGGGGACTGGTGGCCTTGCACCACTGTGTTATGACCACTCTCAGTGGGGGACTGGTGGCCTTGCACCACTGTGTTATGACCACTCTCAGTGGGGACTGGTGGCCTTGCACCACTGTGTTATGACCACTCTCAGTGGGGACTGGTGACATTGCACCACTGTGTTATGACCACTCTCAGTGGAGGACTGGTGGCCTTGCACCACTGTGTTATGACCACTCTCAGTGGGGGACTGGTGGCCTTGCACCACTGTGTTATGACCACTCTCAGTGGGGGACTGGTGGCCTTGCACCACTGTGTTATGACCACTCTCAGTGGGGACTAGCGACCTTGCACCACTGTGTTATGACCACTCTCAGTGGGGACTGGTGGCCTTGCACCACTGTGTTATGACCACTCTCAGTGGGGGACTGGTGGCCTTGCACCACTGTGTTATGACCACTCTCAGTGGGGGACTGGTGGCCTTGCACCACTGTGTTATGACCACTCTCAGTGGGGGACTGGTGGCCTTGCACCACTGTGTTATGACCACTCTCAGTGGGGGACTGGTGGCCTTGCACCACTGTGTTATGACCACTCTCAGTGGGGGACTGGTGGCCTTGCACCACTGTGTTATGACCACTCTCAGTGGGGGACTGGTGGCCTTGCACCACTGTGTTATGACCACTCTCAGTGGGGGACTGGTGGCCTTGCACCACTGTGTTATGACCACTCTCAGTGGGGACTGGTGGCCTTGCACCACTGTGTTATGACCACTCTCAGTGGGGACTGGTGGCCTTGCACCACTGTGTTATGACCACTCTCAGTGGGGGACTGGTGGCCTTGCACCACTGTGTTATGACCACTCTCAGTGGGGGACTGGTGGCCTTGCACCACTGTGTTATGACCACTCTCAGTGGGGGACTGGTGGCCTTGCACCACTGTGTTATGACCACTCTCAGTGGGGGACTGGTGGCCTTGCACCACTGTGTTATGACCACTCTCAGTGGGGGACTGGTGGCCTTGCACCACTGTGTTATGACCACTCTCAGTGGGGACTGGTGGCCTTGCACCACTGTGTTATGACCACTCTCAGTGGGGACTGGTGGCCTTGCACCACTGTGTTATGACCACTCTCAGTGGGGACTGGCGACCTTGCACCACTGTCACTGCTGCTCTCCAGGAGAACTGCCAGCCAAACACGTACGACTTTTGCTCAACATTTTACATAGTAATTTTGAAGCTATGAACCACAACGTCAAAATTAACTTGTGAGCGAGTTGTACTCCGGTCAATATATATTTAAACTAAATTAGTATCTTTCTACGTAACAATGAAATTCTGTATTACACTGTAATATCAATGTAATACAGTGCAGTAACCTTGGAAAATATGTGAAAGATATACAGCTCAATTTAATACCACGTTCACCCACGAAAATATGTTGCAAACGTTTGAGCTCGAAAGACTTGTATTATACAAATATTATACTAAACCTGTTATGTATATAAAGTCAAATAAAATATTGTTAAAGCATCTGGGTCATGTTTTATCCTCAAAAGTCTAGTGTGTCAACTTCTTGGATGCCATCACACACCCGTAAGCTAGAACACACGATACTAGACGACTTTGGTTATTCTAATTCTCGGTGGAGAGTTGCAGTTATTTAAGTCAACGCCTCAGAGAGACGGAACCATTAGGTCCTGAAATCCAGATTTTGGTAAGCTGAGTTGCTTGAAATGCTCAAGACGAATCTTAGATGTCTATCCTCGCTATCCGTCCCCAAATCCTCACTCGTTTCATATCCTCACCTGCACCTGAGGAAATATATCAGGCGAAATAATCCAATAAAA